CTATAGTTTCCTTATTCAACTTTTGTTTGGAAGATCTGTCCAGTGGTGAGAGAGGTGTGTTGAAGTCTCCCATGATTATGGTATGGTGGTCTATTAGACTCTTGAACTTGAGAAGAGTTTGTTTGACGAACATAGCTGCACCATTGTTTGGGGCATAAATATTTATGATTGTTATGTCTTGTTGGTGTATGGTTCCCTTAAGCAGTATGTAGTGTCCCTCTGTATCCCTTTTGATTAACTTTGGCTTGAAATCTATTTTATTTGATATGAGTATGGACACGCCTGCTTGTTTCCGAAGTCCATATGAGTGATATGATTTTTCCCAACCTTTCAGCTTCAGCCTATGTATGTCTTTACTTATCAAATGCGTCTCCTGTAGGCAGCATATTGTTGGGTCTTGTTTTGTGATCCATTCTACTAGCCTGTGTCTCTTAATTGGTGAGTTTAAGCCATTAACATTTAGGGTTATTATTGAGATATGGGTTGTTCTTCCAGCCATATTTGTTTATTTCTGTTACTAAACATGGTTTGTTTTCCTCTTTGATTATTTCCCCCCCTTTACTGTCCTACCTCCCACTGTTGGTTTTCATTGTTATTTTCCATTTCCTCTTCCTGTAATGCTTTGGCGAGGATGTTTTGAAGAGATGGTTTTCTAGCTGCGAATTCTTTAAACTTTTGTTTATCGTGGAATGTTTTAATTTCATCTTCCATCCTGAAGCTTAATTTCGCTGGATACACAATTCTTGGTTGGAACCCATTTTCTTTCAGTGTTTGAAATATGTTATTCTAGGATCTTCTAACTTTCAGAGTCTGTGTTGAAAGATCAGCTGTTATCCTGATTGGCTTACGCCTAAATGTAATCTGCTTCCTTTTTCTTGTAGCTTTTAAAATTCTCTCCTTATTCTGTATGTTGGGCATCTTCATTATAATGTGTCTAGGTGTGGATCTCTTATGATTTTGCACATTCGGCGTCCTGTAGGCTTCTAGAATTTGGGATTCTGTCTCATTCTTCAAGTCTGGGAAGTTTTCTTGTATTATTTCATTGAATAGACTGTTCGTTCCTTTGGTTTGGAGCTCTGTACCTTCCTGTATCCCAATGACTCTTAAGTTTGGTCTCTTAATGTTATCCCATATTTCTTGGATGTTCTGCTCATGGTTTCTTAACAGTCTTGCTGAACTGTCTATGTTCTTTTCCAGTTGAAATACTTTGTCTTCATTGTCTGATGTTCTATCTTCTAAGTGTTCTACTCTGCTGGTAGTATTCTCCATTGAGTTTTTAAGTTGGTTTATTGCTTCCTGCATTTCTAGGATTTCTGTTTGTTTGTTTTTTATAACCTCTATCTCCCTGTTTAGTTGATCCTTTGCTTCCTGGATTTGTTTGCGTAATTCATTGTTGAAGTGATCTTTCATTGTCTGATTTTGCTGTTTAATGTCTTCCTTGATACTCCAGATCATCTGAAGCATGTATATCCTGAATTCTTTATCTGACATTCCATCTGCTGCAGCTGTTACCTCTTCTAAAGTTGTGTTGACCTGCATTGCTTGTGGTCCTTTCTTTCCTTGTCTTTTCATACTGCTTGTGTATCTTTCCTGCAGGCGTGGGCGGCGGCTCTGCTCTCTCCTTATTCCAATTGGGGTGTTGTGGCTACCACGCCAGCAGGTCACTGGGCCTGTTCTGGGCGCTGGCGGCGGCTCTGTTCTGCCCCTACTCCAATTGGGGTGACGAGTGTACCACGCCGGCAGGCCACCAGGCCTGATCCGCCGGTCGGTTACAGGTTTGCCTACCCTGCAGGCGCGGGCGGCGGCTCTACTCTGCCCCTACTCCAAATGGGGTGACGTGTCTGTCGTACCGGCAGGCCACTGGGCCTGTCCCGCTGGTCGGTCGCAGATCTGCCCACCTTTCGGGCACGGGTGGAGGCTCTGCTCTGCCCCTACTCCAGTTGGGGTGTCGTGACTACCCCGCCTGCAGGACGCTGGGCCTGTTCCTGGCACGGGCGGCGACTCTGCTCTGCCCCTACTCCAATTAGGGTGGTGTGTGTACCACGCCGGCAGGCTCCTGGGCCTGATCCGCCGGTCTGTTGCAGGTCTGCCTACCTTGGAGGCGCGGGCGGCGGATCTGCCCTGCCCCTTCTACCACGCCTGCGGACCCCTGGGCCTGATCTGCAGGTTGGTCACAGGTCTGCTCACCCTGCGGGCATGGGTGGCGGTTCCGCTCCGCCCCCACTCCAATTGGGGTCACGTGACCACCACACCGGCAGGGCCTAATCCGGGCGTGGGAGAAGGATCTGCTCTGCCCCTACTCCAGTTGGGGTGACATGTGTACCACACTGGCAGGCCACTGGGCCTGACCCGCCAAGCTGTCACAGGTCTGTTTACCTTGCAAGCGCGAATGGCGGCTCTGCCCTGCCCCTCCTACCACGCCCACGTACCACTGGGTCGCGGGTCTGCCCACCTTGCGGGTGCGGGTGGCGGCTCCGCTCAGCCCCCTCTCCAATTGGGGTCACGCGGTCACCACGCTGGCGAGCCGCTGGGCCTGCTCCGGGTGCTGGCGGAGGCCCGGCTCCTCCCCCCTGGCTCGACGACAAATTGAGGAGACTCGGGTGTCTGTGCCTTACCCCCCCTACCAGGAGACCAACTGTTTCTGTCGCCGCTGGTATTGATGAAGTTCTCTCCTCCGCCACTTTCTGATGACATCAGATCTCTGCCATGTTGGTATCCTATGCGAATGGCAGCATTTCGTTCCCCTTGACGGGCAAATAAAGCAACGGGTGAGTCCTGACCAGCCCTCAGCAGGACCCGGACCGAGAAGCAGTTTCCGCGGGCTCCTAGCCCCGGGCCAGGAAGTTCCGGGAGCCGGAACTCGGCCGCTCCGTGCTCAGTGTAAGCTCCTATAAGTGTAGGCTCCAAGAAGCAGTCCCCGTGGGCTCAGTTCCGGGAGCCAGAATTCGGCCGCTTAGTGCTTGGTGTATGCTCTGATAGGAGCAGGGTCCAAGAAGCAGCCTCACAGGCTCCGCAGCCCTGGGCCAGGGCGGTTCCGGGATGGTTCCGGGAGCCGGAACTCGGCCGCCCCGCGCTCGGTGTTCGCTCCGATAAGATCAGGTTCTAAGAAGCACCCAGGCACTGAACCCTAGCAATCTGTCTGCAAGCCGCAGGCGAATTGCAGCCTGAAATTACCTGTTCTATGGCTGAATGTGCTGCAGTCAGTCGAAAACAGGGATGGTGACGTCAGCTTTCCAACATGGTCGCTGCTGGCCTCCTCTGTGGAGAACCGAGATGGACCGCTTCCTTCCCCCGTCTCGAACACAGAATTCAGCCCTGAGTACGGTGCTTGCACGGCTGGCAGAAACTGCAGCGCTGTATCCCTGCGTCGCTATCTCCTCGTTTCCCAGCACGCGCTGCAGACTCTAGCCACGGGGCGGTTTGCTGAATAAGCAGTGTTACCCTCCGTGCGACAAACCTCTCGCGTTTGAGTCCCCGTAGCCGATCCTCGTGCGATGGAAATCCTTCCTCTAGGTTCTGGAGCACCCCACTATTGCTGGAAATTCCTAACAAGATATCCTTTAGCCGTCCTGACTTGTCATACTCCCACACAGTGAAGCAGCACACGGGGGCAATGCACTCCCCTCGCCGCCATCTTCTCACAGCCTCTCTGTATTTATTACTTTAAAAATACACTTCTAGCATTCAATGTACCATTATGGTTTTTATCACTTGCCTCATTTGTTCTATCCAGAATTGTAAATTCCTTGAGACCAGGGCCATATTCTTTATTAATCTCAGTTCTTGTGGCAGTAGTTTATTTATAGCCATTCTTCAATAAATAAAATTTCAGAAAAATAAGAGTGAAAGAACTGTTTATGAAGAAAGGCATACTTTATCAAGGTTTTATATGAAAGTCATCTCTATATTATTTTCAAATACTACGAAAATGATCTTTAAAGTAATTCATGCACTGATATACTGAGCTTTTTGTTTTAAATGTTTTTAAATTTTTAATTGACACCTAATAAATGCACATATTTACGATGTATGGTGTCATATTTAGTACATGTATACAATGTATAATGATCAGATCAGGACAATTATTATATCCATCATCTAAAACATTTATTGTTTCTTTGTGTTGTGAACAATCAAAATACTCTATTGGCTATTTTGAAATATTCAATTAATTATTGTTAATCATAACATTGGAAGTTATTCTTTGTACCCAACTTCACCCTGTACCCATTGACCATCATCTTTCCTCCCTCCTCTCCACCCTTCCTAGGCTTGGTTACCTTTATTCTACTCTCTACTTCTATGATATGGAATCTACATAGGTTTCAATCAGTGGATTAATGGATAAATAAAATGTGGTGTATGTATACCCTATGGAATATTATTCAGCAACCTTTATGAAAATAGAGGACATTGCATTGAAGTGAAATAAGTCAGGCAGAAACAGATAATTGCCACACATTCTCATTTACATGTGTACTGACCATGTAAGTCTCTTATTTAAAAAGAAATATGTAATTAATTTTCGTATGTAAAAGTTTTCCCTAAAAGTACATAATGGTTAACATATAATTCATACTTAGTTGCTACTTCATTCTTTTTTAGCTTTGGGTTTTATTAAGTGAACTGAATGCTATTATTTTTTTTTAGTTGTAGATGGACACAATACATTTATTTTATTTATTTATTTTTATGTGGTATTCAGGATTGAACCCAGTGCCTCACACATGGAAGGCAAGTGCTCTACCATTGAGCCACAACCCCAGCCTCTGAAAGCTATTAATTTTTGACATAATACAAATCATGTGTCTATGAAGCAGAGATAGAGGCAGTTAGGAATCTTATGTCAGGGCATTTTCAGTAACCTACTCATTAGGCTAACATTCTTTTCATGTGATGCAATATAAACATTAAATACCAAACTTGAAGGGAAAGGGTCCTTCCAGCTATGGTATTGCTGGCTGGAAGCTTTACTTTTGCAGAGGGCACATGATACTTACAGATCTAGGTTTAAGTCAGCACAGAGAAGATCCTGATCTCTAAACTTCCGTAAGAGCACATGGGTGAGGTCCATATTGTCATTCCCACTGCTATTTGTGGTAAGACAGGGGAGATAAAATGGAATTATTAGTGGCTCCCAACAGAAAGCAAAGAATCACATTCTGATCTCAAAATGTACCCTTGTCAAGCTGATCCAAGCAAACGAGCCCTAGTTTCTTAGATAAAACTATTTTTCTAGTGTTTTTTATGGTAAGACCCAAACAAGCAAAAGTAAAATTGAGAAATTTCTTCAAAGCACATCCTTGCCACCACAGACATGCATTTTTATATACTTGTATCCACACTGTATTATTTTCTCATTTTTTGCTTAATTTTATAATGTAACCATTATTCACACTTTGCATGGATTTAAAAACAAACTTTAAAGGCTGTATAATATTACATTATGTTAATATATTAAAATGTATAACACTGTTCTCTTAATGTTGGCACTCTGGTTTGGGCTGATTATTTGTCCTATTACAGAGCCCCACAATAAAACCACTTCTATGTTTCAACCTTTTGTTTCTATCTGTGAACTATAGTGAACTGCATTTTCTTAGCAAGAGGTCTTCAGCACAGAATCCTATGCGGCTTTAAGTAAACTTTGAGTTATGGTATTTATTTTGCTGGTGTAAGTCTCAAAAGTCAATAAAGAGCTCAAGCAGCATTACCAAAACCAAGGTCACCAACTTTGACTTGCTTTACTGAAAAGACCATCAGCAAAAAGACATTCATGTAGCTTTGGGGGAGATGTAGAAACAAATGCTATATTAAACTTTATACATCAACTTTAAGAAAATTCTTGAAGAAGAAATGTGGAGAAAAAGATGTTTCACACAACTTTAAATTTGACTCATTGGGAATGGGGATCATTACAAACAATCAAAATTCTAAATTATAATATTTATGAAAGAACATAGATTTATTACTCTTCAGAACTTACACTATGTAACTTACAAATTATTTTTGAATGCACATTTTTAGGAGCACTCATCCCCAAAAGAAAGAAGAATGATGTATAATTAACACTATTGATAGCATATATAAACAGTGCCCCAAATCACTTGGGAAAGAATTAGTGTACAAATTAAAAAATGTATATGAGTATATAATGGTTTCTTCCAAATAATCTATAATATTGATTTTTTTTAAGAAAGACGAAACTTAAAGGAGACCTCAATCACAAATTTTTGTCATTTGTTGATTTTGTTCATGGACAATGCAAAGTGGACTCTTCAGACTAAGGGGATCAGTGGGTAGGAGGAGGTGAGGTTTCAAGGGGAGATACTGATTATTGACATTGACCAAATTATGTGAAGTGCATGTATGAATATGTCACAATGAGTTGCCTTATTCTGTATAATTATTACGTACTAATTTTTTTTAATAATTGCCTCTTAATTATATTTCTGAATTGCTATAAGCATTAAATGTAGGGAGGTCTAAGTTAATTAGACTTATTGCACCACCGTGTCCCACAGTGCAAGCCAAGAATGAGAAGAAACTTCCCTATTTGTGCCTTGGGAACTCACATAGATTTGGGGACTTTCTAGATTTCCAGTTTCCCTAATTCCTTCCTTGCTTTCTCTAATGTACAAACTTGATATTCTCTCTGCTCAAAATTTATCATATGATCCAGCTATCCCACTTGTGCATATATATCTAAAGAAAATGACGTCAGCATAGCAAAGATATATCTGCAGGCCCATATTATTGCAGCATCATTCACAATAGCTAAGATATGGAATCAACCTAGGTGCCAATAACAGATGAACAGATAAAGGAAATGTAATATCTATACACAACCGAATAGTATTTAGCCCTAAAGAAAATAACATCATCTCATTTGTAGCAAAACAGATGGAACTGGAGGACATTATTAAATGAGATAAGCCAGACACAGAAAGACAAGCTCTGAATATATTCTCTCATATGTGGACACTAAAACAGTCAACATTAAAGTAGAATAGTGATTACTAAAGGTTATGAAGGGTATGGGGGAATGATGGATAAAGGGAGTCTCAATTTATTTAGTGTACCCTGCACCCATATGTTAAAATATATCACACAGAACTTCATTAATATCATAGATATGCGTGTCATCAAAACTAAAATAATTTATATGTAAAATTTATCAACATCTCCTTTTTTAAAAAACTTTATTTTATTATATTTTATTTATGTGGTGCTGGGGTTGAACCCAGTGCCCCACATGTATTAGGCAAGCACTTTATCACAGAACCACAACCCGGGCCCCTCCATGTCTCCTCTTCATTTGTGAGCCTGGAAACAGTGTTGAACCCTTCCACATGGTGTTTGCCCTCCACAGTCTTCAGGCTTGGATACCCTAGGCCTATTCCTAGAAGGCAGCACCCAACTGCAACCACTTTGATCACGTGGATTTGCTTTCTAAGTTCCAATCCCTTCAATTCACTCTTCTAAGCGTCCTGGTTACATGACCAGAAACCATCGCTAGCCCAGAAGCCTCAGCTCCAACATTGTTCCCACTGTGACTCCCAGCCTCATCCCTGCCTCCTTCCCAATAGCCCCGACCTGCCTGCACTCTCTCCCTCCTTCCCAGTAGCCCCGATGCACATCTTTACTGGACTTTAATGGTAGCCCTCTCGTTACTGAAACAAAACAATCCTGGAAAAGAAGGGCTTTGTGCTTAAGACAGGAGCTGGACCTCAGTATGTTCTCAGAGATAGTTTGTTCAACACATTGTGACATATCATTAATATATGGAAATTACTGACCGAATCAGTCATCCTGTCTGAATATTTAATTTCCCTATATCTGGCTTTCCCTGAACTCTTACCATTTAAACAGGGATAAAATTTGATGGAAGAGAAACTAAAACTCATTGGACCAAGAAAGAATGGTATTTCTGCTGAGGACAATGTCATTTTCAGAACATTAACAATATATAAACCCAGAATGAAAACACCTCTGTAGCTCCTAAATCCAGAAGGCAATAATTATTTATAGGAAACCACCATGTTCCCCACTGTATAAGATACAGTAAATGTCTTTAAATTTTTAGGTGGTTTACAACTGGCCTGATATGATTCCCTACTTCTGTGGTCCAACATAAACAATGATGAAGCAGCCTGAAATGAACAACAAAGCTTTGCCCCATAAGTTGGCAGTGCACCCTCTGGACAAACATCCTTCAGTTGTCTAACCTGTGAGAAAACACTTCCACAGGACAGGGACACACTCTCCACTGAAATGGAGCCCATATAAAAGGAAATGTCATTTGTGACATCTCTGGACTATTCTCCTATGACCCATCATCCAAGAACAAATATAAAAGTAAAACTGTTTTTCTGAAAGAAAAACATTTGATCCCTAAACTGGTTCCTTTTTAATGATTACAAAAAAACATGTGTAAAAGTTATGCTTTACTTTTTATTACTCTTTGCTTAGGTCTAGAGATCACCATTTAGAGAAAACAACAAAAATCGGCTTTAAAGTATCTCATTTGCCATAAAATTCAAATACAGGCTCCTAAACTCTCTCTTTGGTTGCCTTCAAGCTCTTGCCTATGTTGCTAAGTAAATCTCAGTGTTTAAAGCACTGGACATCTGTCTTTAACAGACTATAGGGCTTGAAAATTACTCCTTCCTGCGGTCGTTCATAAATGGGGTCATAATTTATTGATTTCTGAGGTAGGTCATAAGGGGGTCACTTTCCCTCTCCAAATCGTTATTTCTCAACATTTGATGTACATCTTGGTGACCCAGTGAGCTTAGCAGAGCAGATGCATATTCCCGAGCACCATCCCAAAGGGCCCTCCTGATTAATGAAAGCGCTAATGCTTCTGATGCAGATAGGATTAAACCAACTTGGCAAGTTCTAGGGTTTCTAGAAAGATAGCAGCCTGTGCCCTTTCTTCCTTTCCTCTCTCCACTCTCAACTCCAACCTTTCTCTCTCTCCTGATCCTAGCAGCTTCTGGTATTGGTAACTATCAGATTCCAAGTGGGGTCTTAGGCTCTGTGGGAGTCACCACAGGCAAAGATGGTTCAGAGTCTTCTTCCCTGTAGACCAGGCAACCTATGAACACAAGTTGAAGCCAGGAGCAGAGTGACCAGGGGCAGGGATAAGCAAGTACCCTTGTGGGAAGGGTGGCTTGGGGACCTGCAAATTCCTAGGTAACAGACCTCTGTCTTCTCTGATTATTTGGAGGGGGTCAATACTTTCTATTCCTGAATTAACAAGAGCACAAACCGCAGAAAGCTCCGCTAGCTGCCTGGAGGAAGTAGGAATGTACTGACAGTCATCTGCAGCTCAATAGAGGTAGAAGGTTCTTTGGCTCCATCTCTCTGGGAACTACTCTAGTCAATAAATGATACCCTAATCTGATCAAACAGCAAGGACAATCACACATCCCAGGAGTCAGAGGAAAACTCAAAAAATGCAGACTGACAAAGAGTCACTAAAAGGATATGCAACCAACCAACCAGACAAACCAAAAGCAATAGAATAGTAACAGGATCACATGCCTACACAGGAGTTTCTAAACTCAGGAAGAAAGACTTCCTGAAAATATTATTGAAGAAATTAACTAAGAGGATGATCCTTGTTTAGATACAAACAATAACACTAGAGAAATACCACAAACAGATAGCCAAAAAGAAAAGGTAAAGAAATCTTGAAGCTGGGCACAGTGGCATATGCCAGTAACCCCAGCAGCTCAGGAGGGCCCTAAGCAACTTAATGAAAGCCCATCTCAAAATTAAAACAAAAGATAAATAGGGCTGGAAATGTGGCTCAGTGGGTAAGTTTCCCCGGGTTCAATTTCTGGTACAAAAGAAAAAAAAAAACTTTGAGGAAAGATAAAGAACTTGAAAAATGGATCTGGAAGATCCTAACATGAGATCCTAACATGACCTTTGTGTCTTGCTGAGTTGCTTAAAGCCTTACTAAGTTGCTGAAGCTGGCTTTAAACTCACAGTCCTCCTGCCTCATCCTCCTGAGCCACTGGGATTGTAGGCATGTGTCACCACTCCCAGCCTCATTTATGGTCTTGATCTCATTTTGCTTAAATCATAGAGTTCCCTGCAGACAGGTATGTGCTGTTATGGGTCATTTTTCTTAAAGTAACTATGGGAGATTTGTGAAATGTACAATTTATATATTTTTCTAAAATCCTAAAAATTCTAAAACATATCTGGCCCTCCTACTTACTGCTAAGGGATTAGAGTAGGGGCCAGTGACTAGTGTCCTTTTTTTTTTTTTTTAATAAAGATGCTTGTCTGTATAGGGAGGAGCCATTGATATGGAGGTTGGGAGCCAGTCCTGCCTCATCAGTCCTAGGTATCTGCTTTGACACAATCCTAAAAAGAGCAGGGGCTTCTCAACAGCTATCCCTGTGAACTCTGACCTCAGAAATAATGAAAGCATTCACTGTTGAAGGCCACAGCCGAGTCAGGATGACGCATGGCATTTTTGCCAGAAGTAGTGGTTGAGAGGTGACGCCAGCAAGTTCTCCGGAGTTCCCGTTGAGTTCCAGTTGAGCTCTCGTGGGGATTCCCGGAAAGTTCCCGGGGAGCGTGTGTGGAGTGTGCTGGTGGAGTTCAGAAATAAAGTTTGTTCCTGCTTCAGTGGCTTGTGATTTGTGCCCAGCCAGACTGCGGCAATTCACATAGAATTTGGGGTGTGGGGATCAAAGCCAGGTACTTGAACATGCTAAGCAAGATCTCTGCCACCAAATGACTCCTACTGCCCCTCATATAAATACTTTTATTTGAATTCTTAAAAATATCAAAGCTAATGCTATTTTTCTTAGTCAGCTCAGGTTAATATAGCAAAGTACCATAAACTGGGTATCTTCTAAACAACAAAAGTTTATTTCTCACAGTCCTAGAAACTGGAGAAATCAGGGGTCCAGCATGGTTGAGTTCACCCGAGGGCCCTTTTCTGAGTTAGAGATGACTATCTTCTTCATACAACAGAGAATTGTCAAAAAAATTTTGGGTGACCATGAATTTTGACTGGGCATCTGCACTGGGCCCAACATATCAAATTAACATAAAATTCAATTGCAAGAATTGAACTTTGGTTGGTTGTAGGAGGCACTGCAGCTGATTGATCAAGCTTTAACCAATTGATTGACTGATCTAGTAGACTATAGCAAAGTACGTTGTTTTCTATGCCTCACTTCCACTTTTCTGTAAATGCTTTGTGATGGTAGTTAGTTGAAGTTCTCAGAACCTGCTGTGGTTCCAGGAGCTGCCTAATTCATGAATCACTTCTGTTTTGCTTTGCTTTAAAAAAAAACCCCACCAAATTTAATTGTTTTAAGGATTCTTTAACAGTAGGAAAAAATGCAAGCTACTTTCCTACTAGTGTCTCCTTCCAAGGGCACTAATCCTATTTGTAATGGTTCATCCTCCTAAACTAGTCACCACCCAAAGAACCCATCTCTAAGTACTATCATGTTGAGAGTTGAATTTCCACACACAAAAAAAAAAATATATTAGGGAGAAACACAAACATTCAGTCTATGACACTATTCATAGTCTGTCTTTATTCACAATGTGTCCATAATTTTGAAATAAAAAAGTTTCTTACCTGAAAAAGTAAGTTTCCAAACTCTCATAGTGGCCAGGAGTCAGTTTGAGGGGAGGGTATTCGGTGGCCAGAGGTTGCACCATGAAAAGGCCCATGGCCAAGGCCACAAAAAGGACAGGCAGCAGCAGGTCTGAGACTGTGCTTTTCCAGGCTCTCAGTGTGTGGAGCAGCCTTTTCCTCAGGAGGGCAGCTACCTGTGCGAGAAGCAGCTGATGACCTCGCATAGGTGCATGCAGGGTCCATGCAGGTGGGATCCTCACAGGAGAGTCACCTGCAGGGGCACAAAGTTAGCAGTGAGTCAGACATGGAATGACATGGCTCCCATGATCTGCCTGGTTCTAATAATTCTCTTCATTTGTCCTCTAGGTGATCCTTGGGCCTATCCTTAGGCCTAAATAAGAGTAGTTTACTGTATCAAAAGGACAACAGGAGGCCTTTGCATACCCATGTCCTGGAAAGTTAGCATACCAGCTGTTTCAGCTTTAAACACAGGGTGAAGTGCTGCTGTGGGTTCACTCTGTTCTTGCTCCTGAAGGTGAAGGAGTACATGCAAATGGAAGAGAAGAAAGGGCCTGGCCTAAAGCCTGGAGTTTAGGGGGTTTCTGAGGAATCAAAGACAAAAGAATTGCAAGAGGTTCTTGAACTCCCAGACATTGAGTTTCCTGGGGAGTGGGGGTACAGGGAGGCTCTCTCCTTATTAGAGCTCCCCTCCTTCTACCATACTATTCCTCTGCTGTTGATGAAGTCTTTCTTGAGAAAGTCCCGGGTAATAGATAATGAGCTAGTCAAATTTTGGAGAACCACATCACTGCCTTCCCTCAGTTCTACCCATGTCCTTCCTTCCCACTCAGAGAGGAGCTAATCAGCCCTCAAGGCAGCGCCTCTCCTCCAGCTGCAGCCCCCTGAGTCCACTGGATTTCAGCAATCCTGTCCCTTCCTCCAGTTTTTTCCTGTATGGAATCAAGCAACTCTGAAAAGTCTTCAGAGATCATAAAATTCTAAAGGAGAGAGTGAGTTATGCACCATTGATCTATGGGTCCCTCAAGATTGACCACTTGAGGATTACACACACACACACACACACACACACAAATTCTATACACATATACACATGCTTCAATTGAGGCTAAAGATTCCAAGCAAAACCCACACACACACACACACACACACACACAGAAGGGAAAAAAATGTTGAAGATGAGAAATCAGCAGCAAAATGTGAGCCAGACCCAGGACTGTGACCTTAAAACAACATCTCATGGGCTCATCAGCTCTATCAATGGTTTTCCCCAGTGATTCCCTCTAAGATACTCCAGAAAATCAGAGTATTTCACAAGAAAAGTGGTCTTCTGAAAGAACAGATGCCCTACTGATTATACTGCCCATAAACATCACAGTGAAATGCAATTAATACAAGAATATCTGAATAGTTCTTTTTTAAAGAAACTGGACCATTTTGAAACATAGATTATTTGTAACAGTGTTACAAGAGAGCAGTTGGGGATGAAAAATGCACATCTGAACCTATTCCTTCATTGGCCTAAACTATATAATGGGCCTTGGACTATTTGGTTTATGTCCTCAAAAATGCCTAGCAGAGCAGTTAATATAAAAATGTAACAACACAGTGGAATCAAGTGTTATGGTCAAGGTGAGCAAACTTAAGTTAGTATCAGGAGGCAAGTTTCCATGATTCAAGGCAAAAAGGAGAAAGCAAGCACAGCCCTGAAAACAGGTAGGTGGGATCATCCTTATGATCCCATAGGAGTTTGCAGGCAGTCAGGAAAATGTGTATGTTTCAAGATCAAAGAAGGAGAAGTGAAAAAGCATGGAGTATTCCGTGAGTAACTGAGAGGCAGCAGAATGTGGCACCTATGCATGGGGAGTGTCAGGAGATGAAGGTGAAAGGTCACCAGAGTCCAAGTCATGAAGAGCCTTTACAGCCCCTTGCACCTGGCTGAAGAGGCCCAAGCCCAGGAGTCACCTGATTAGACTTGTGTTTTAGAACACAGAGTCTTACTTCACTCCATAAAAGACAGAGCTACAACGAATGATTTTTAAATCAGGCTACATACCACATTCAACTGGAAACTCTTTTAACATGCGGATTTCTAGGCCCCATCTCTAAAATATTTGATTCTCCAAAGACTAGAGATAAAAATGTGCTTTTTAATAATTTCCCAGGGGATTCTGATGCTCAGCTGGGCTGTGGAACCACTAATTCAATGAATTATCAATGATGATTCTTATGAAGCTCTTATGAAGCCATTATTAAGTCAGTCTATAGAGAGATTTTAGTGCTAGAAAATGTATATTATTAAGCTAAATGGGAACCTTTAGTTATGTATATCATTCTTGATATTTTTATGGGATTATAATGCTGGATAACAACCAATTCATGGTATGTATTCAGATCTACTAGGATAATTATGAGAGTTATCGGGTTCAAGTTAAAATAATTGAGTTGTTTTGGGGTTGCCCATTTTCTGGATTTATTAAAGTAATTATTGAGATAACAGTGTGATGCCTTCACTGCCTTTTGACTAAGGAGTTTTCCCCTATAAAGCAGCATGCCTTATTCTGTTCAGAATCAAAAGGAATTGGAAGGTCCCTGGTGGGTCCTGTGATCCCTCACTATTACAAAAGTCATCACCTGTTAGAGGGCACAACCCACAACTTAGCCCTAATGTAGCATCTCTTGATTTTGACATCTAACTATGCACACTTGACCACTGGTATAGTTGGGATATGAGATGTTCCCCCCAGTTTCTGTGTTAATGCAGAAATATCCAGAGGTCAAAAGATTGGGTTGTGAGTGCCATAACCTAATCAGTCCATCCCAGTTTGAATGGACCAACTGGGTGGTAACTATAGGCAGATGCAGCATGGCTGGAGGAGATGGGTAGAGTGTGTCCTGAAAGGGTTCATCTTCTCAGTGGCCAGTTCCTCTCTTTCTCTGCTTCCTGGTCACCATGAGAGGAGAACTGTTTCTCCACCATGCCCTTCTGCCATGATGTCCTACCTCACATGGTCTCAGAGCAATGGAGTCAGCAGACCATGGACTGAACCTCTGAAACTGTGAGCCAAAATAAACTTTCCCTCCTATGTATTTTCAGGTATTTTGACCTTAGCAATGAAAAGTGAACTTATACAGCTCAGCCCACTAGCAGTCTGCCAAAATATACACCTTCTCATACGAGAGTTTGCTCAGCAAGCAAAAGGTTGTAAATATCTATTCATGTATTAGAAAGAAACTATTGGATATCTACTCAGCAAATTTGCCCTTATGATGGAATGGGCATGGAGACAGAGACAGAGAATGATGGTTTATGTTTCCACTGGCCTCACTCATCATGAACAGATAAAGGAAGTTCTATCCACAGTGACCTAGATGTGAATCCAATCTTAGTCTCCAACATACTGTGTGACTTCTGGAAAACTACTTAACCTCTTTGAATGTCATCTCCTCAATTGTAAAAGAGACTTATAATATTTTCCCTCCGGATAGTGAGGATTGTTATTAGAACATTTATTAAACTACCAAAACAGGCATAATATTGACTTCCAGTCATAGTAAATGTTCATCAGACAGCCTCAATAAGTCTGTAGAGAAAGGTATGTCATATATTAAAAAGAATAAATTGTCTCCACCTTCTCATATATGTTAATTGGGTATAAATGAGAAAAATAAAAGACTGAGATAGTTTATGGTTATGAATTCACCACCAATCAAATATTCATGGCTAAACTTATAAAAGTATTCGCATGAATAATTTAACAGACAAAAATTAAAATGCTGGACCAAATTGTTATGAATTGTCTTATTTGACTTATGAGTACAATTATATTCAAGGACTCTAGTTACATCCACAATTATGCATCCCCATTAACTCCGACCATCAAATTACTTAAGGGATGTGTCCAAAGTTGTGTTTTTATTTCCTTCCATTGTTTTTTTTCCCCTTCCTATCTACCTACCTACCTACTTACTTTCTTTCTTTCTTCCTTTCTTCTTTCCTTTACTTTTTGTTTTTATTTTTTGGTCAGGTGGCCACAGTTTTTCAAACCTTAATACCTCATGACTTTCTAGGCACCTCAGAATACAGTATACACAATATCAAGTTCACCAAAATGTTCCTAAATATTTTAAAATGAAGCATTACCAACATAATGTTTTCATGTGGATAAAAATAAGATGAATACTCCAAAAGAAAAATAGACACAAAGAACACAAAACATGCAGTTCATAAAGCATCTATAAAATAGCCAGCATGTGAACATTGTAGAATAAGGAAAGAATTGGGCTTTCTCACTCATCCATTTGGTAAATATTATATTATTATTGAGGATTCAAGGAAGTGGGTCTTCTACACTGCTGGCGGGTGAAGAGATCTCTATAGTCATTTATGGGAAATAGATATGGACCTTCTTTAATCTGCTTAATTTCAAACCATCAGTTATATTAATTTTTTTTCAATTTTTGTTTTAGTTGTCACTGGACCTTTATTTTATTTATTTATATGTAGTGCTGAGAATCGAACCCAGTGCCTCACACATGCTAGGAGAGCACTCTGCTACTGAACCACAATCCCAGACCCCTGTATTATTTAAAAAAAAAAAAAAAAAAAAAAACATAAATGCATGAACTATCTAAAGCAAAGTGACTTGTTTTATCTTACAGAAAATAGTCAAATCCATGGGAATAAATCAAACAAATTACAATATAGTTTGAGGATCCCTGATCTAAAATATTGAGAACAAAATATTTCAGATTTATGGGGTTTTTTTTTCAAATTTGGGGGTATTCATTTATACATGATGAGAATGGACACCAAGTCTAAACACATCATTTATAGGAATGTTTTACACATAGCCCAAAGGATATTTTATACCCTATTTTTAGCATACCTATGTTTTGTCTGTAACCTATTACATGCAATCAGATATGGAATTTTATGCCATGGCATCATGTCAGGACTCAATTTTTTTATATATATATATATATATTGGACTTAGAGAATAGTGCAAAAAATAAATCCTCTTTTGGAACCTAGAACTCATTGTTCAGTATGAGTTTTGATACATACAAGCAAGAATGTTATATCTAATTGATAAATGAAAAGGCTATCTTCAGAAAATGAGGCATTCGGTTGAAGATATATCTTACTGTGCTTGTTTAACTATTTTGTTGACATATCCCATATCTGTACTACTGTGTGAGATAATAGGAAGAATATGATGTAAACTCATTGATGTTTGGAGAACGTGTCAG